ATCCCCTGTTGCCCATTCCCAGCTTCTGGCAAACAGAGGCTAGGGACACCATCCCTGCACACCCTGGCTAATAGTCATTGATGGACCTATCCTCCATGAATTTATCTTGTTCTTTTTTGAACCCTGTTATAGTCTTGGCCTTCACAACATCCTCTGGCAAAGAGTTTCACAGGTTGACTGTGCATTGTGTGAAGAAATACTTCCTTTGTTTGTTTTAAACCTGCTGTCTATTAAACTTCCTATTAAATATTGTTGATTCAATATTTAGCTAAATCAGTTTAACAACCAATGTAAATTCAAACCGGTATAACTTCCCCATGTAGACAAGGTCACACATTGGCCCGCCTAGAAAGGGTCTGCTGCTGGGGGTTAGCCCCAGAAAGAAGCCACAACGCAGATGTGTGGGGAAGACAACACCTCCCTTGCAAATCTGTGCCTTGAATGGGCACTGGGCCATGCAACTCACATCCAAGTGTCTCTTGGCACCGCAGCTGATTCTCCCAGATACGCAGCGATGTGCCGCGCATACGGGATGGCAGGATCAAATTCTCTGCGTCTCTCCAAAGGCTGATGAAAAAAGACTTGGATCTCTGCTCACATTTCCCTTTACTGCTGATCTGCCTTAACAACTCTGCGGCACAGCCAGGGAAGCTGTGGGATGAAACCCTTTTCCCTTCCTCCGTTTTAGTACCAGGAGGAGGGAGACTCCTTCGCTCACCAATAACTGGGGATGAGCACGCTCCGCGGTGTCATTCAGAAGCCCGTTTCTTCTTTTAGACAGAGACATTTGTATGTCATTAACAACCCAGCGCGGCTCAGTCCCCGCCTCAGCAGCTGCTGCGCTAATGTTTTCTTCATTCATGCTGTGGCAACCTCCAGCCACTGATGCAGGGGCCGCACCCAGAGAGGCATGTTTGGGCCGCACGTTCCCATGCCAGGGGACCCCCACAGGAGACCCACCCTTTGCGGTTTCCTCTCGGTGTCACATTCAGAGCACCGTGAGGGGGCAGGCAGGGGGCGAGACATGGGAGCGGCTGTGAAGATGGGGGGTGGGGCTGAGGCAGAAGACTAGAGATCAGGGCTCTGTGTTCAAGTCCTGCGCCTGCCATAGACTCTGACCTGGGGCTCCTACCCTCCAAGCTACTGAGACGCCTGAGTTCCATTGAACTCCCTGGGAGCTAGGGACCCAGCTCCTTAGGAGAGCCTGGGCCGGAACCTCTCTGTGTCTCAGGCCGGGAACACTTCGCTCTCTCACAGGGGTGCCGGGAGGTTCCCTTCGCTGTCGATTCTGAGGTGCTCAGTTGCTATTGCACTGGGGGGCCCAATGAACAGGTTGATCCGGGCGCGGTGGGTCGAGGCAGCCCGTTCATGCTGACCCCTGCTATCCCCTTTCCGTCAGCAGGGCCCCTGCTCCGTGACAGGGGCTCTCTTAAGCAGTGCGGGGTGTTGCGATTGCTATCAGAGCTGGCTTGGCACGAAGGTTCAGCTCCTACCGGTGGCTGCCAATTCTGCAGAGCCAGCCGCGCTAACGCAGCGCTCTTCTGGCTTCGAGCCAGACGCCTGTGGGCTCAGCGAGGCTGCAGGCCTGGCACGGGCCTAGCCCTGTGTCTTTGCTAGCGGGATCATGCACAGAGCTACTCCCCCCCCCCCCCCACACACACACACACACGCGCCATCATCTCAGCCCGGGTTCAAGCGCTTATCGCAGCCCCAGTGCCCACTCGGCACCGAGACAATAGACCCCCACATGCGGTGTGGAGAGACGGGGTCCCTGTTTGGGGCAGGGGGACAATTGCTGTGTGTTTGCCGTAGTACAGCAGCGCTCGAGGCCTCGACTGAGACCTGGGCCCCATTGTGCCTGGTGCACACAACACACATTCCTCCTCGCCTCTCTCAGACACGCAGACTCCCTGCCGCTCTCTCCTCAGACGGGCACCTCCACCGCGCATTTCCCCTGGAGATACTCACCCCAGCTGGGGTGACCCGAACTCTACCCAGGACCCGAGGTGAGGACGCCCCATGGCTGCTCGGAGCACTTGTCCTAATACAGCAATTGGCCCAGCTCCCTCGCCCCCCCCCCCAGCAGAATTTTCTTTGTGGTAGAACAGTAGCAGCTGGAGCCCCCAACTGAGATGGGGGCTGGGTTGTGCCAGGCGCTGTCCGTGCGCATAGCGTGAGACGCGCCTGGCTGCAGAGGCTGGGCGATCTAACCAGGGCACAGAATGCTGCAAGGTCACGTTGAAGGTCGGGGGCAGACGTGGGAGCAGGACGCAGGTCTCCTGAGCCCAGCACCTGAGCCACCAGCCGATGCTGCTCCCTACAGCAATAGGAGGGGAAGGAGGGCGTCTCTCCTACCTCCTCTGAAAGCAAAGAGGGAAAGCGCCTCCGGTTTTACAGAACCACGCCTCCGCAGACCCAGTCGAACAGCCATTAGACTTAGCAGGAAGAGCCCCCCGGACCACAGCAGGGCACGTTTGGACTGGGCTCCTTTTGTATCTTTTGTTGTTAAAAACCACAGAACCCTGTGCAAGAGGGAGAAGCCCATTCAGCGTGCACACAGGCCCTCCACTGATCCCCCCAGCACGTCTGCAGCTCGCACCATGCTCTCACTGAAATTCCAGGTGGCCTCGGGAGGCCTGGCTGGTTTGAGTTCAACTAAAGGGAGGGGCTCTCGGAGCAGGAGTTAGGGCCAGATGTGTCAACAACAGCACCATGCAATTAAACACCCACTGTAATTATCTACATCAAACCCCACTGGGACAGCTGCTCAATCTGTTCTCCTAAAATCCCAGCCCCCAGAGGCAGGACAGGGTTCTTACAGAAACTCCTCTGGCACACCTTGCGAAGACAACGTCTCTCGCGTGGAGTTAGTAGCCAAGACGGTATGGCGGCCACTGAACTGGCCGTGAAGAATTCCCCTTTCCCTGCCCTATCGTACAGAAACAGCAAAGAAAAAACCATCCCTGCCTTTTGTTGCCCGTCTCTGAGCCAATCGAAGGGTAATGCTAGCCCTAGGGAAAACGGAAGCTTGCAAACTCTTCCCATCCGGCCCTTTTTGAATGGAGAAATCCCCTGGCCAGGGAACAACATACAGAAATATTTAGCTCTTAGGTTCTATTTGGACCATGTGAGGCTATGGACTCACCTTCACTCGGAACATCTGCACCAACCAACATAGTTAGAACTTTGTTGGGTTCAGGGCTGTTAATACAGTAACATCTTATGTGGACACGCATCTTAGGGCAATTAGGGGAAGCCAGATCCAGGCAAGACGACCCAGGCCGCAGCCCAGCAAAGTGCACCACTGTAAGCCTGTGAGGCTCCCTACTGAAGCGAACGGGTGAAATTCTGGCCCCACTGAAGTCAATGTGAATTTTGCCTGTGGCTTCAATGGGGCTGGAGGTTTCACCTGACGAGTTACAGTCCTGCGTGTGCTCAAGTGCCTTGCCGGATCGGGGCCACACCAGTCCTCGAAATGAGCATCATGCCCCTCCCACACCATTCGAAATAACGCCCCCCCCATCCCCCGCCGATCAGGCAACATGCAATATCTGACCTCCAGCTCCTGGAAATCCTCGTCTTCCTCCACGTCATAGGAGAGGGTGTGGATCTTGATGTCGTCAGCGGAGAGGTCGATGAACTTGCTGTCGGGGTACTCCAGGCTGTCCTTAGTGGGGGAGCGGTCCTCAATGAAGGTGGTCTCACAGCACTCGGCGCTCACGCTCTCCCCCCAGGAGCGCAGCACATTCTCCGAGTAGAGGATGATGTTGGGGCGGTAGTGGGACCCCACGGTCTGTTGGAGCGTATTGGGGTCCAGCAGCTGCTGCACTGGGTCGCTCCTGCTTTGAGCAGCGAGGTTCCCCACGATGTGGCTCTGGTACTGTGGGGCTGGGTACACGGAGACCAGGCCATCTCTGTTCTCCGCCATTAAGTTCCTGGTGTTAATTAAGCCATTCTTTTTCCCAGCTTCAGCGATTTTACTGTGCATTAACACACTGGTCTGTTCTAGGAGCCCATCCATATTGTTCTTCGCCTTCCTCCCACAGGGATCTTAGCTGGTCACTCGGAAACACTGGTCACACTGGAGTAATGGCTCCCATTTTCCTGAGGGGGGTGAAATAAATACTAACATGAAAATTAAATAGCAGGACCTCCCAAATCTGCATCCGACACCTGATAGCAGGTGTAACGACTGAAGCAATGTAGGCCCCGATCCTGCCAGCCGCTCCACGCAGAGAGATCGCCCGGCCCACCCAGAGCCCCAAGTGCACACCACAGCTAGCAGGAGTGGGGACTTCCCAGGCCTTTTCTAACCGAGTCCTTTTAAAGCAAGACTTTAACGCAAGGGTTCTCAACTGTGGGTCGGGACCCCGTTCTAATGGGGTCGCCAAGGCTGGTTCGACTTGCTGGCGCCCGGGGCTGAAGCCCGAACCCCACTGCCCAGGGCCAAAGCCAAAGCTCAAGGGCTTCAGCCCTGGGCGACGGGGCTCGGGTTACAGGCCCCTGCCTGGGGCTGAAGCCCTTGAGCTTCACCTTTGACCTCCCCCCCCACCTGGGGCAGTGGGGCTTTGGGTCCCCCGCCCGGGGTCGGGTAGTAGTTTTTGTTGTCAGAAGGAGGTCGCAGTGCAATGAAGTCTGAGAACCCCTGTAGTTTAACACATCGAACAAGAGGGAACGCCCAAGCGACGGGCCCGAGCCGGCCCGGGGTTTACGCTTTCGCACTGAAAACACACATCTTGGAAGCTGGCCTGCCCTGTTCGCAGAGAGTGTCGAAGACTCACCGTCCCTTTCTACACACTTCAGCCAGGCGCAGGGCCAGCGAGAGAGGCTTTGCTAGGAGGGATCCCGTGCTCCCCCTGGCCCCGTAAGCTGCCCTGAGCTTCAGAGGAGTTCAAAGCTCCCTATGGGTCACCACCTATCAATGACACCAGGGGGTGGATCATCTGAGGGGACCGAACCCTCGACCTAAAAGCAACAGCAGCTCCCACTTGGCTTGAGCCAGAGCACCAGGCCTGTTAGCTCACAGCCAGTAGCAGGCTTGTAACCGCTCATATTGAACCGCCATTACAGGGACAGAGCCATGACGCAGGGTTTCTTGTGCCTCTCTCTGAAACCGCTGGTGCTGACGGCCATCAGAGACAGGATAAGGGGCCAGATGGACCAGTGTGGCAATCCCTGTGTGCCAGGTAAGACATGCACGACATACAGGTCGATTCAGGTCCTCCCACGCTGCTGATGGAGCCAAGACATCGGGTTCCAAGAGAAACAGCAGGGAACGTGGCGGCGTGCGGCGCGACAGGCAGGGATGTGAAAGGCAGGGTCCGTGCCCACTGCCTGGCTGGGGCCCATCACCCAGAATGTTTCACGCAGTGGGTTGCATGGCGAGTGCTTTTCACTCCACTCGCACGTCGACCACACAATCGCTGGATGGAGAATTTCCTGTCCTGGTGTGCACTCACCACAGTCAAAAACACTTACAAGTCCACAAGCAAGGCGAAGTGAAAGCATCCATTGTGCTTGCCCAGACCTGACAGCAAATGGATCCTTGCCGAGCTCTCAGGGTTCCTGGCAGGGGCGCATTATCTGTTGAAATTTCAGCCTTTTGGTCTGAGGAAAAGGGGAAGAGCGGGGGGGGCAGTTTCCCTTCAAACTGACTGAACAATACCACCTGAGCGCAAGGGATTACATCTGCCCCAAGGAGCTAATGGGACTCAGTTCTTCCAGAGATCACCACAAATCTATAGTGTGGGTTTGTGTGTTAATATTTCCATTGAGACCTTCACGCTAGCAGTTATTTTTTCACCCATCTCCAAACAATTCCTCATTTAAGGAGGCTGCTGTATATGGATGGAATATGGGTTTGGGGAGTTGTTTCAGGCAGCCCTGGCTTTCATTTCACAAAGGGTGTGTCTACACTGCCTTTAGACACCTGCAGCCGGCCCGTGCCCGCTGGCTCGGGTCGCGAGGCAGTTTAATTGTAGTGTAGACATTCTGGCAGCAGGCTGAGCTCTGGGATCCTCCCACCGTGCAGGGTCCCTGAGCCCGGGCTCCAGCCTGAGTCCGTGTCACATTCCCATGTGCACCCCACAATCTGACAGAACTGCAGTCAGCAATTCTGTATGTTCAGCCACTGCCAGCTCTAAACCAAACCTCTCAGAGCTAGGAAAATGTTAGGGCCTAAGAGGCAAAGCCACACAGCTGCATGTTAGCAGCTTTGCTATCCAAATAAAAACATAAAACAAAACATTATATAATAAAGTCAATAAATAGCAAGCTTGGTTTTAAGTGCCCCTAACATATTGTTGTTATAACTACAAATACTAAAAATGCTTTAAAATAATAGTTCATTAACATTTAAAAAATTGGTAACCCACTAAAATCACTAAAGGTTATGATTTGTTTGTCTTTGTTTAAAATTAGCTATAAAAATTAAATAAAAAAAAATATGCTTTAAAGCAGTTCGGGGAGCTTTTCTTCGGGCAAAAAGCTGACATCTAAACTGCCCATCAGCTGGACAAAAAAAAGGGCCCTAAAAACCCGGCTGGTGATCACTCCAAGCCGTCTCAAACGGAAAATAACTTTACCTAATATGTCCTACACCTATCGCGTATGTGTGCTTAAAATCTAATTAATAGCAGTTTTCAATAAAAGCACTCTTGCTTGTATCAATCATTTATCAGATGGATGAGCTGTGCCCGCTATTAATTTATTCCCCACACTGCCTAAAAAAACAAACAAACAAAAATTTAAATTACCACTGCTTTGGGTTCTAAAAAAACCTGGCTATCACCCGGGCATATACGCCACAATTGAATAGCCCCGCAGCCCAAGCCACCTAGCACAGGCCAGTCGTGTTGTCTAATTGCAGCGTAGATGTACCGTTAGTGTCAGCGTCATCAATGCTGCATGGGTCAGCCAGTGGGTCTGAACACAGGACCTACAGACCTGAAAGCAAACACACCTGCTGCTGGAGCTAAAGGACTAATGCCCGTACATGGGCACAGTCGTAGCCTCACCAACCTCTTATGCGACTCAGCCCCTAGAAGAGGCCTAATCGGTCTCTTCTAGCTAGTGGGGTTACGTCAAGACAAGACAAGGAAAGCACAGCAACAAACATTCTCACATTCTGATGAGTTCTCAGTATCAGACATCATAACCTGGGCTAACCATTGTTCCCTGGATATTCCAGCTTTGCCCATTCCCGTCTCAGATAGAAAAAGCGTTCTGGTTCTCAGTAGAGCGAAATTTTTCAACCAACAATTGCCCTCTGCCCCGTGGCTGGCACCTGACACGCATTTGTCCACGCATACGGAGCCACCACGTAGAAATGCCGATGGGAAGCCCCACAACTGGGGCATCGTTTGGGATAAAATGCCTACGTCAGGCAGTGCCCAAAAATAATGCACGGGGTGGCCGCTGTTGTGCCGGTCACCTGAGTGGCTTCTCTAAGGTCGTGCGATCAGGACCCACACCTCCGGGAAGTCACACCACCCAACAAAGAAAGTCTTGTCTGTGTCAGTAGCACTTGGGAAAAAGCAATTTCAAGCCACCTTATCTCTGCCTTCAAGTTCAGCTGTCAAATTCCCTGCCTGCTTGCTGTAGGTGCTAATATTGGCCAGATAACACCCAGCTCCAGGAGCCGGCGTCTCATCCCGGGTTGTTATTTACAACAGAACAAGTGGGAGTGAAACGCTCGCCATCTCATCTGGCAGAGCGTTCAACACCCGCTGGATTTGCTCCGCACAGCTGTGAGTGGGGACACAAAGCGGAGGAGAGTTGGGCCACTTACGGCAATGGCAAGATCAGTGGCATTATCCTCGGGAAAGCACCCAGGCTAATCCTGCCTCCATGACCATAGGGACAGCAGCTTCCGGGGCCCTGTCCACACGTGGCTAGGGAGTGCTCAGAGAAGCAGCGGGACCGGAGAATCTGGCAGGGCACCAAGCGGCCTAAATTTCCGGTGACCAGTGAGTCTGAGGACCCTACTTGAAGCAGCACAAAGGGCCCTGACAGAGGCAGGGCGTTCAGAACTTTCTGAAAACTAGAGCCCTTCACGGGTCTTAAGCTGGCCACTCCACAATTGAGACAGCCAAAAATCACTTGGCACTTTTGGAAATGAAAGCCAGCCTTCAATTCTTCTCCCATCCCAGGGGAGAAAAGAGGTGTG